CTAGGGGCCGGACCAGTGGCACAGTGGTTAAGTGTGCACGCTGTGCTTCAGCGGTCCAGGGTTCACAGGTTTGGATCCCGGGCACGCACCAATGCACTGCTTGTCAAGCCATGCTGTGGCGGTGTCCCATATAAAGTAGAGGAAGATGGGCACGGATGTTAGCCCAGGGCCAATCTTCCTCAGCAAAAAAGAGGAGGATTGGCAACAGATGTCAGCTCAGGGCTAATCTTCCTCACACACACACACACACACACAAATCTATCTAACAAGCAAAAAAACTATTAATATGTCAAAAAAGGTATCTGAAGAAAGTTCACAATCAGTTCCTAATTAAAAACAGAGCAAAGATCTCATAGTAAATTTGCAATAGAAGAATTCTTTTTAAAAGTTTATAATGGTACCTCTCTGAAACCAACAACCAATGTCATATTTAGTAGTAAAATGCAAGGTGTTGTACATTAGACAAAAACGTTCATTATTACTAACTTTTCTCAGTAAGTAAAATTAAAGACAAAATGTAAATATTGAAAGAGACAAAAAACACAATTATTGGTAGATAAGATGAATATCCTCCTGGAAAATCCAAAAGGAAATCATATAAAAAAAGCAAAAAACTTGATATATGCCAGAAACAATTCATTAGAAAATAAAATTTCAATGATTCCACAATAGAAAAAAAAAAAAATACTAAGGGCCGGCCCGGTGGCATAGCAGTTAAGTGCTCGCACTCTGCTTTGGCGGCCCGGAGTTCACAGGTTCAGGTCCCGGGCGTGCACCGATGCACCACTTGTCAAGCCATGCTGTGGCAGCGTCCCATATAAAGTAGAGGAAGATGGGCACAGATGTTAGCCCAGGGGCAATCTTCCTCAGCAAAAAGAGGAGGATTGGCATCAGATGTTAGCTCCGGGCTAATCTTCCTCAAAAAAAAAAAAAAAATACTACAAATGACTAGGAGTAAACTTTAAGGAGAATTATACAAATTCACTATGAAATATCAAATTGTAAAATTCTGTATTTTAAAGCAATTTTAATAAAAGGACCAATGATTTGTTCTCTTTTGCTGAGGGGACACTTAACAAAATAATTCTAAAATTTACCTTGAAAAAAACAAAAATCAGAGAACTAGCCAAAACATTTCTGAAAATAAATATTTGCCCTACCAGAAATTAACACGACCTATCATTCTATAGAGACAGAAAGAACAGTGTAAAATAACAGACACCAGAAAACAAATCCCAAATATACATATCTTATAATTATGAAAACATCCATTTTAAGTCAGCGAAGAAAAAAAGAGGCAAAATGGTATTGGGACAAATGTGTAACCCCATTGGGAGATGGGGAGTTTTGCCAAAGACAAAATTCATAAAATACTGACAGATTACACTAAATAAAAATTTAGAATCATGCACATAGGAAAATGATATGAAATAAAGGTAAAAGGCAAATGACAACCTGGGGAAATATATTTGTAACACATAGACTAACATCCTTAATAAAAAACAAAGTCTTACAAATCAGTACAAAAAAAGACCAATCCCATGACAGAAAATGATAAATAAAATGAACTGTCAATATGCAAAAGAATGCTTATGTCAAAAAAAAAAAGACATGAAAAAATATTTAGTCTCACTATTAATCAAAATATATAAATCAAAGCAACAATATGTCACTTTTAAATAAAGGAAAAGATCAAAAGAAAGACAGTACATAGTATTAACAAAGGTGTGAAGTAAACAGACAGTTATAAAGTGCCAGTAATAAACTGGTACACTTACAAAATATAATTTGGCAATATGCATCTTTTACGTACCCTTTTACATAGCAATTGCGTTTATAAATATTTAGCATAAGGAAATAAAAGACTGCAAAGATTTAGATATAAGTATGTTCACTAAAAGCAAGGTAATAATAAAAATATTTAAAAGACATTAAGCAAAAAAACAAAAAAACATCTATTTTATTATGGTACGTCTAAACCATACCATGCACTTTGAAAAATATCATAGAGGTATAATATTGATGTGGAAATGTATTGCTGATGTTGAGTTAAAAGTAAGTAGATTATCAGATACTGTGTATCTGGTACATCTATCTCACTATCTTAGATGGTACTAAGCAACACAGTAAGATGAGAGAAAGCATTCAGAGTTACACAATCCAAAACAGTTGCTACTAGCCCCATGCAGCTATTGAACACGTGAAATGTGGCTAGTCTAAATGCGCTGGAAGTGTAAAACATACACTAGATTTCAAAGACTTAGAACAACAACTACAAAAAGAATACAGACTATCTCAACAATTTGTTATATTGATTATACACTGAAATGACCTATTCGATATATTGGGTTAAATAAATCATACTAAAATTAAGAGACTGGTTTTTTTTTAATGAGGCTAACAGATGATTTTAAATTAATATATAATGGCTTGCATCCTATGTCTATAAGACATTACCGAATTAGAGGTATAAGAATTGAAATAGGAGAGCTAAAACTATCTCTATATGCAGATGACATGATTTTTTTGGTCTCTGAAAAGATAAACATTCAATGAAAAATTATTAAAAACAGTAACAATTCAGAAAAACAGAAATAAAACGTATAGTAATCATCAAAAGTTAAAGTTAAAAGTTAAATGATAACCAGTTAAAAGATAAAATGGAAGACTCCATTTATATTAAGAAATTAATTAATTAAATTTTTTAAAAATTTAAGAAATGTGCAAAATCCTTCAGAGATAAACTATAAAACCTCCTTACAAGGCAGAAAACTATACGAACAAATGGATACATTCTTAGATAGGAAGGCTCAACATGACAAAGATGTCAATTTTCCCTAAGTTAATTTACAAATTAGGGCCAGCCCCGTGGCTTAGTGGTTAAGTGCTCGCACTCCACTCCTGGCGGCCGGGGTTCGGATCCCAGGCGCATACCGACGCACCACTTCTCCGGCCATGCTGAGGCCCCGTCCCACATACAGCAACTAGAAGGATGTGCAGCTATGACAGACAACTATCTACTGCGGCTTTGGGGGAAAAAATAAATAAAAAAAAATTTTTTTTTAATTTACAAAGTAAACACGCTCAATTTTTTAAAATATCTTATTTTTTTCCTACAGACAAGTTTATGTTATATTCACATAGAAAAACAACTAAGTAAGAATAGCAATGAACACACCTAAAAGAGAAAAGGGAGATGGGCACTAGGCTCTTCCAGATATAGCTAAGACAGTATAAATTTCTATAATTAAAAAGTGTGATAACTGGTAAGTGAACATGAAATAAAACAGAAATCCAGAAATATACCCAAGTATATATAGAACTTTAGTAACTGATAACGATGGCATATCAATTCAGTAGGAGAAGACGGACTTATTAATTAGCAATATTGGGACAACTGAATAGCCAGATAGAAACAGATAAAACTGATCTGTTCCTCACAATAAATAACAGCATAAAAAGCAAAAGAACCAGTTCTAAAAATAAAATAAAATCCATGAAAACTATAAAAAATAAAACCATGAAAGTATTTTTTAAAAAAAATGTGAATTCCTTAATAACATCAGAGTAGGGAAAACTTTCCTAAGCATCAAACCAAGAAGCAATAAGGGGGAAAGACTGATCACGTGACTATGTAAAAATAAAAATCTACTGCATGGCTAAAAACACTGCAAGCAAATTTAGAAGAATATAGCAATCTGGAAAACTTTCATCTGCAACTTATATTCCAGATAAATGATTAGTATCCATTATAAAAGGTCTCTCTAAACTGAAAAGAAAAAGATTTAACCACCTACAGAAAAGTGGACAAAAGAAGATAACTTGAAAAGAAAAGAAAAGGCAGCAGCAAATTGCCCTTAAACCAATGGAAAGCTGCTTAATAATAAAAATTTATTTCTCAAACTAAAACTTCACCACCACAACAAACTGACAACAATACAAAAAGTATCACAACCAGACTCTATTGGCAAAGCTGTGAGGAACACTCTCAAACAATGCTAGGAA